GCTCTGCCTTTCTCCAATCTCCTTTCCATTAAATTTCTTTCCGCAAAGATGTAAATGGCTTCCCTAATCTTCCGTTTCCTTGTGTTTTCCCTGTATGAGGATCTTCTTTCTGTTGCCTTCCAAGTGATATCGTATCCAGTCCATACGATGTGTTCCCCTATAACCGATCTTTCGGTATCCATTTTTCTGTAGTCTTTGATGTTCCCTGATTCATATGCCCATTTTTCTACCCGTCTCATCAATACATTTTTGGTTGCAGATACCGCGTGCTATGCAATAAACTTCCAAGCAATCCAATTTGTCCACTTTATCATGTTGCGAGGATAGACTTGTGAGTGTTGGTTTACCTTAATGGTTACCTAAATATTCCATTTTTTTAGTAAAGGTAGTCGTTTTTGAGTTAGGCATATCCACTTTTGTGATTCTTTCTCTATCCTTACTGTCTCTGATGAGTTGAAGTTTGGTGCTGAGGATGGCAAGATTCACTGGTGATGGTGGCAAAATGTCTGGGAATGTATCAACTCTATGGTCCGATGCTGATAATTATGATAACTACTATAGCTTAAGAATTCGGACAAGGTATTCCCAACTAAGTCGCCCTAATAACACGACCAAGTTGCAAAAACGAGGTCAGCCCACTTCTATACATCGAAAGGAGACTGTGATCATACCAAAGGTCACAACATTTTGGTCTTCATATCTTCAGAAAGGAGTAGTTTCGACCTCAACCCAGCACAGCATCACATCAAGCAGTGATAGAAATAGAAATGTGTATATAAAGGCACTAAATGCTACCACAAGTCCACATTGCACCAATATAGCTAAGTCATAACCGACTTTAATGCCAAAAAGTCTTTGATTCACATTAGTAGCACTACTAACATTACCAGGAATTTAGTAATGGTTAAAGCCATCAGCAAATTCGGATTAGAACCTTCTTGAATCGTCAACCTTAAGGTCATACCTTAAAATGTCCTAAAAGCATATGGCATTTGTCGCAATCAATATTTACTGGGAGTTATAAAAAATGTTAAGTACCTCTTTTGGATCCAATTAACACTTCGTTTTTTTAGTCTGTGAAAACACCGACATGGGAAGTGGCAAAATTAATAGTAAATATCACGAAAAAAGTAGGAAAATCCAACCTAGAGTTAGTGCCAATATCATGGAGGATGTACAAGTTAATGAAAGCATGCATGAAGACCCTAACAACAAAGCAAAGGTAATGAGATTGATGAAGCTACAGTGGTCATTTAATGAAATGGACTCTTAAAGGTTAATCGCCATATTCTCGTGGCAGGCATTCAAAACACACATGAGGTCAGAACCTATAATTGCGCCAACCAAATTTAATGAATGGTTGGTCATTGTCCCAATAGTTAGGTGTGATTTACCTCAAGAGTATAATCCTCAAGTCTGTGATTTTAAGATACAACTTGTGCTTTTCTGACCAACATAATAATTGCTCATTCTATAAATGATCGATGCACACTAGCTTTGCGACAATAGCAAGGCACATCAAAAAGTAAATTAATCTACTGAATGTAGTTAGCAGCTTAATGGGTCACCATCCTTGGTGATAAGTCCGTCAAAATACACAATTTATCTGCGGCATACCTATTGGCCTGGGTTTTATCTGATCAACTTGACCCGTCGTTGACCTGTCGAGTTGGTGGACGAGACAGTTTTGCGCGATGTCCCAATACCAAAGGTGCCAAGCCAATACCTTGTCCAGTTGGTGAGCTGGCGATGCCATATGATGAATGACGGGGCTGCGAATGTGATTGCTTTAATATGGGAAGATAAAAAGGATATAAAATGGATTGAAAGAGCATTTACTATAGGCAAAATGTTTATTTTTAGTTAAAATAAAGGAATGGTAAATTAGTTCAGAATTAGTTATTCTTTGGTCAAGTTTTTTCACAGCTATCCTATCTTTTTAACACCACATTCTTAATTAGAATTTCGCAGTGCTTCTATCCTTTGTTACTGTCTCTTGTTTACAGTACTTTAATGACATCTAGATTCGGTCCAACAATAGACAAGCCCCTGATAGCTTGTGGCTAAGCATGCCAGTATGATTCCCTCGCACCGCCTTCGGCTCAACAAGCCTTAAGTCTCAGATATTACAACGCGCCAGCAGGTTTCGAGAGTATGTAAGAGAAGAGCCCTAACATTCAGTCGTTTCTCAACTCAGTAAGCCTCCAGTGTCGTTTAAAGGTGTAATGACTCTCTTCAGTGGTCCTGAAGACTCCACCATGCTGATACTACTCTTCACACAAAGAGGGTAAGCCTTCTGGTCATAGAAAGTTGCTTAACTCAACAGTACAATGTGAGAGCTACATGCTGGTGCCAAGAAGAATTCAACTTTAGTAGCAACAGCAATTGTGATAATTATTCAGTCACTAAAAGTCTCGAAATACCCCGCGTTATATGCCGTATAAAATTCTAAACTTGAATCCCATATTCCTATCCAGCAATCACACGACCAACTAGAAACAATGAATGCTCGCCCTTGTCCTCATAATAAAGCTTTCATAAAGAGTAACAGATTCTGAGTTTCGCCACAAAAGGATGCTTAAGTGTCGAAATTTTTTCATGATAAATTAATTGATAGAGGATATCTGGTGCGACTTTGGAAATGCTCATGTACACAATGGATTCTGGACTAGGTAAGTCCCTCTAAGTCTTCCTACCAATATGACCAAGTTGCGAAAACAAGGTCAAACAACATATTGATCTAGATTTCATGTTTTAAATTGTAAGATCAAGTCACAATTTAGCTGCTACAGGTAAGAAGATAGATACAAAGCAAGCGGATAATAAATTAGGCCACTTAAAGAAAATAAACGGTTCTTGATTTTGCATGATTTTTTCAATCACAATTCACTTTGTCGTAGCGGCAGTTGTCTTTGAGTAAAAGTTTGAAATACTCCGTCCAACGCCAATCAGGTTAGCCTGAGCCTGATATTGGTTCCTTCCAGGTGGGGCATGCTGACTGGGCAATTGAGAGACGAACCATGCCTTAGAGGAAAGATCTGAAACCGGGCTCTGTCGAGAGTCAACTATCGAGGTTGTGGCATTGAGTTTTGTGACGGTTTTTATATGTAATGCAGCGGTTGGCAAGGCAAGACCAGCAGCAAAATGGCTGCCACGCTCGAACGGCGATAGATGAAGCAGCCAAGCACAAGAAGTAATGAGTGGCAGGGAAGGATGATGACAAGAAGACAATTCGGAGGTAGAATAAAGTTCAGGACATGATGTAATAGGAGAAAGAAAATCTTCATGGTACCAAGGAAGTTCGGGGAATCCGAGGGCCCGATCGATGGTCTAAAGAATCAAGACACAAATATCAAGATGGCTAAAATGTATGTTTGAGTTTGAAAGCTAAAATGATTCTACCATTTGAACAATATGAAACATAAAAAGCCCTTCACACGATGCAAAGGTGTTCCGAGTTTAAGGCAAAAACGAAATGTAAAGTAGTGATAATATAAATAAAACTCCATATCGTCTTAAAGGGAATTATAATCGCTGATAACGATATGTTCGATAAATCAATGATTCTAAAAGCTTCAAAATGAAAGACAAATTACATATGCGAAATCGCTAGTTAAGAGGAATTTTAAAATGCGCAGACAGAAATCATTGTTGTTGAACCTCTAATACGCGTCTCACTCATTCCCAATCTTTAAAATGTTGATAGACAAGACAGTTTTGAGCGATGCCCCAATACCAGAGGTGCCAAGCCAATACCTTATGAAAACATAATCAATCCAAGAAATACCAAATAT